AGTGGTTGGCCAGGAAGGGGCAGGCGTCCTCTTTGCAGGACTAGCTGCCAAAGGTGGACCCGGCAGCCTTGGAGCTTTTGAAGCCGGCTGGGGTATCACACCAGCCGGTCTTTTGTGCATGCTTGCTAGTGATTTTGGCATGCCTTGGGTTCCACCCTGAAAATAGTCAAAACAAAGCAATCAGTTAGAAACAAAGGCAGCTCATCATATGTCATCCGGTAAGAAATGGAAGAGGTTTTACCCCAGCATTCTTGGCGGCCAGTGCCGCCTTCTTCTCTTCGATTTGCTTCTTTCTCAGCTCAATAGCTGAGAAGGCAGGTGTCTTTTCAGGAGGCACCATTCTTTTAGCTTTACCTGCAAAAAGGGAGATTCGAGTTAGAGCGTGTACGCATAATCAGGCGTCAGAATACCGGATGGGTTAATGAACCTACTCTTTTTAAACATTGAACTTAGATTGCAAAGGGACAAGAAGGACTCGTCCCTGAACCATTCTGGGAGGGGTACCCAGAACATTGGGACGATGATTTCACTACCGTCCTCCATCAGATGGGTCGTTTTGAGGAAGAGACCCGTCTCCATTATTTGGTCCCAGGCGTCAGACGGCACTTTCGGGAGCGCGCATTTTTTGCCCAGCAATGCCGGGTGCTTATTATACCGCCGCAGCGGTGATTTAGGGAAGTGGAAGGAGAAGAGACGACATAAAATTTGCTCTTCCAGTTGGTCCACTTTGATGGCTTCTCCAAAGTCATCATGTATTCTTGGTTGGTGGTAAGGGTGTACCAGGCATTCCACCCACCCGGAGCCCGGCTGAGGTAATGCATGTGTGCAAAAGCCTCCCAACTGGGGTTCACCTCCTGCAGCTCACATGCGGCAATGTACCCCAAAATATTGACCCAAGAGTTAGGAGTCAATTGCCATACGCCCAAGTCATACCCCAGCAATATGTCCTTGATGCAGGGGTGAAGGGGGAACCGGAGGCCTGCTTTGAATGCCGCCTCATAACAGCCGAAAAAATCATCGGCATGGTCCAAGTCGTCCGTCCATACGACGGCTGCATTAACAGGCGGGACTCTTATTTCCCAGTCCTTCCCAACTGGTTTCCTTTTAAAAAGAAAGGCAGGAAGGGTTGCAGTAAGGGTGACCACGTCTCTCGCAGACATGGTCATGTCAGTCGGATCCCCCTTAGCCGGCCATTTGTAGGCCTCCTCAACAATAGGCTCAGCCTCATGTGCAGGGGCTTCAGATTCGGACCCAGACCCTTCTCTAGCAGATTCATCGCCGGATCCTTCGGCATTAGAATCAGAGTCTTCTAATATGCTGTCACCCGGTGTGCTCGGACCACTCGGGGAATCTTGACGAGTCCCCAGGGTTTCTTCCAAAGGAATTTCACCAGACGGTCCTGCCGTCTGGTCCTCGTTTCTGGGATCAGCCGGATCTTCGGCTGCGTCGTCGAACTTGTAATCCGGGTCAACTGCCGTCCATCTTATCCGAGCCATTCTGTCCTGCACATGAACAGAGACGGTCGGATTCGAGGTAGGTGAAGGTTCGCCCAAATACCCCCAGACGGCAGTCCCAGTCCTAGACTCAGCCGTGCCTGGTGACCGCCTGACAGCAGTCGTAGGCTGTGCCGAGTGTATAATTGAAGGGTCCATATCCTATCTATGCAACCGGAAAATTAACAAAAAGAATTGAAACAGGGTGCAGACGGTACCTTTGGAGGTTGAAATTTGCTGAGTTGATTGCTTGAAACCTTCACAGGCGGAAGTCTCCGAATGAGTTTAAAGCTGAAATAAAGATACATAGATCAGACGTATTTGATAGAAACTCATTCAAAAGCTCCCCAAGCGGTTAAAAGCCTCCGAATGAGGGTTAGCAGAGATGGACTGGAAATTGCTCAAGCGACCCCCATACGGTTAAAAGCCGGATGGGGGCAATTTGAAACAATGTTTGAGCCAAGGCTGCTCAAATGACCCCCATACGGTTAAATGCCGGATGGGGGCAATTTGAAACAGTTTGAGCCAAGGCTGCTCAAACGACCCCCATACGGTTAAAAGCCGGATGGGGGCTATTTGTATGTTTGAGAAAAAGCTAAAGGCTGCTCAAACAACCCCCATACGGTTAGACGCCGGATGGGGGCAATTTAAACAACGTTTGAGAAAAAGCCAAGGCTGCTCAAACGACCCCCATACGGTTAAAAGCCGGATGGGGGCAATTTGAAACAAAGTTTGAGCCAAGGAAGCTCAAACGACCCCCATACGGGTAAAAGCCGGATGGGGGCTATTTGTATGTTTGAGAAAAAGCTAAAGGCTGCTCAAACAACCCCCATACGGTTAGACGCCGGATGGGGGAAATTTAAAAAACGTTTGAGGAAAAGCCAAGGCTGCTCAAACGACCCCCATACGGTTAAAAGCCGGATGGGGGCAATTTGAAACAAAGTTTGAGCCAAGGAAGCTCAAACGACCCCCATACGGGTAAAAGCCGGATGGGGGCTATTTGTATGTTTGAGAAAAAGCTAAAGGCTGCTCAAACAACCCCCATACGGTTAGACGCCGGATGGGGGCAATTTAAACAACGTTTGAGAAAAAGCCAAGGCTGCTCAAACGACCCCCATACGGTTAAAAGCCGGATGGGGGCAATTTGAAACAAAGTTTGAGCCAAGGAAGCTCAAACGACCCCCATACGGGTAAAAGCCGGATGGGGGCTATTTGTATGTTTGAGAAAAAGCTAAAGGCTGCTCAAACAACCCCCATACGGTTAGACGCCGGATGGGGGCAATTTAAACAACGTTTGAGGAAAAGCCAAGGCTGCTCAAACGACCCCCATACGGTTAAAAGCCGGATGGGGGCAATTTGAAACAAAGTTTGAGCCAAGGAAGCTCAAACGACCCCCTTACGGATAAAAGCCGGATGGGGGCTATTTGTATGTTTGAGAAAAAGCTAAAGGCTGCTCAGACGACCCCCCTACGGTTAAAAGCCGGATGGGGGCAATTTGAAAAAGTTTGAGCCAAGGCTGCTCAAACGACCCCCATACGGTTAAATGCCGGATGGGGGCTATTTGAATGATGTTTGAGAAAAAGCCAGGGCTGCTCAAACTACCCCCATACGGTTAAATGAAGGATGGGGGCAATTTGAATGATGTTTGAGAAAAAGCCAAGGCTGCTCAAACTACCCCCATACGGTTAAATGCCGGATGGGGGCAATTTGAATGATGTTTGAGAAAAAGCCAAGGCTGCTCAAACTACCCCCATACGGTTAAATGCCGGATGGGGGAAATTTGAATGATGTTTGAAAGCAAAGGTTGATCAAACCACCCCCATACGGCTAAAGGCCGGATGGGGTTACTTATAACTAGTCTGAATAAAAACAAAGTTGGCTCAAAGGGGTCCCATGCGGCACAATGCCGGATGGGAGTATATTAAACATCCCAGACGGCAAAACGCCGGATGAGGGGGATTTTTGGACTTGTCCCAAGTCAGCCCCATGCGGCAAAATGCCGGATGAGGGCATTTTAAAACTAGGGAAATATTTCAAAAACCTCACACGGGAAATCCCGGATGAGGTAGGGGTAATTCAGAAATTTTGGACAAAATATACCCAGGCGGCAAAATGCCGAGTGAGGTCCTTAATCTAGGGGCAAAGAGGGAGAAAGCAGACGGTACCTTACTAAATCCGCACTCAGCCGGAAGGCAGATGTCAAGTTCTTGCGAAAACCGGATGCTCGAAAGTCTTGAAAGAAGCAGCCGGTATCAGAGCTTCTTCTCAGGAAATTTTTGAAAAAAAATTTGAAGAAAATAAAAAGTGCGGAGGAAAGAGGTAGCCACCCTACTTATAGAAAGAGGCAGAAGGCGAACATTCACCTTCTGCACGAAAATTTGAAATTCAAAAAAAAAAAAAAAAGAGAAGGGGGGAAGCAGACGAACCGTCACTTACCCCATGCACCCTGCGTCTGTCACAGATGACACGTGAATTTGCCACATCTCACCTGTGAGGGGCAGATGTTTAGGGTGAAAATACCCTAAGACACGTGGCCCAATAAACACGTGTCAATCTTTCAACGGTCTGCAAAGGCCCAATCCCTTTGCGACACGTGTCCCTTGTACCCTAATTGAGGTACAGTTCTCCCTTACTATAAATAGTAAGGGTAAACCTCATTTATGGAGATGACACATTAATTGCAACCACACAAAAAACCAAACAAAGCCCAAACCTACTGAAACACTCTCGAACCGAGAAGCTTTTATCGTTCTTATTCCACTTCGAAAAGATACTAACTTAATCTTCGGAGGCGGAACTCCCACCCCCATCCGGAGTCTCCGTTACTTGTGCAGGTACAGGCGTAAGAAGGAAGTCTGCTAGGAAATTGTAACTCTCCCGAAGGACATAAAATACCCCCAAACAACCCCTATGGAGAAAAAATTAAGGGACGGAAGGAGTATTAGGTAGCATTACATAGAGATGTTTACTCTCTCCAATTTCTTTTAAATGCATCACTTGGTGATGCGCGGAGTTTTAGGAGAGTAATATAATATTGTGAGTGGGTGAATAATTTATTATACTACATTAATTAAATATTAGTTGCAACTTTGGAATATTTTATATCTTACAAATAATACCCTAAAGTTGCAACTAATATTTAACGGAGGTAGTAATAAAGATAAGATGAAAACCATGAAAGAGAAAGTATATGAGAGAGAGTGGGGACTATGGGAAAGAGAGAATTGATAAAATAGTTTAAGTGCGGTTTAAATTAAGAGGGAGAAATGATAAAATATAGTATAAAGTTACCAAATATAAAAGTAAGACATTTAAAAAAAACACCCATAAAAAGGAAATGATACATTTAAAAAAACGGAAAGAGTATGTCGAAATTTGGTATTGGCCAAAAGTACCCATTAGTCCAATATAGGTAGGGGGTATTATCAAGCCCAAGTCCCCTACCTAGTAGGGGGTATTATCAAGCCCAAGTCTACTTTGCCAAGCATTGTCCATCCTCCTTCCTCTCTACAAGAAAGTCCCAAACTTAATTTACCAAATCATTCTATTCATCACTTTTTGGATCCCTAAAAAGTAGAGAGAATCATCAAATCCTCTAATAATATCCCCCTCTCTTTTCCATTTCAGCTAATAAACAAAACCGCTCATTTTGACACATTCAAAAAAGTTACTTCCTTCCTTCCCTCCTTTTCTTTTCTTCACCAAACCAATTCAAAAGCAAAAGCACCTCCTAAAAAGAGATCACACTCACATTCATAAAGCATCAAAAGCTAAAGATAACCACGTTAAGAAATCCCAAACTTACACTCACTTACACAAATAACACTATGCCAAGTTCAATTATATATACAAATTCACTGCTCGTGTTCGACTTCTTTACACTTTTATGTGTGCTAGCTATCAAGTATGTCGTCGACGTCGTCGGAGATTGTTTTAGCTGAGCCAATTCAAGAAACATACCATGAAATTGATGAGAGGGATATTCCAAGTACAAGTAGTGGAATTAGTAGTAGGAGTTTTACTAGATCAATTACTTATGGAGATGATGATTATGATAATTATGTGCCTAAACCCTTTGAAAGCGAGAAATTGCCTCTTTCTTTGGCTCCTGATATTCGACGGTTTCTTCGTGTTGCTAACCAGATTGAAAGCCAAGAACCTCGTGTTGCTTATCTCTGTATGTTAATTTTAATTTTCTTGTATCTTGATTCAATTTTGTTTATTTTCATATAATTTTCGGGTTTTATGTGTAGCACGGATTAGTTGTAATCTGTCTCTAAAATTTCTTTCTTATTTAAAAAGTAATTGTTCATTAAAAAAAAAAAAATAAAAAAAATCAATACAAGTATAATTTTTCTAGAGCCGAGGAAGTGATAATTTAATAGCATAATGTAATTTGTAGCTATATCTTGTTTGGTTTGTATTGAATTTATTTACTTTAATTCTAGATAAGCTTTTGATTTTTGGAGCCTAAAAAATATTAAATAAATGGGTTCTACCATAATATAAATTCCGTACAATGATAAAGTAAAATATTAAGTTGGTATAAGATGATATGAATATACTAGTATAATTTAGAAAAAATTTAATTCTCATAATTTTTCTTCTTTTTGGAGCTCTTTAGAAATTTATACGGAATATGTTGATTTATTTAGAAAAAATAAATGCATGTAAATATGAAGCTAAAATTATGTTTGATAAAATTGGTTAGAAATTGCATTTTTATTTTCACGCTAGCCAATGCATTATTTTGACCATCAATATGTTCAATTACGTACCAACTCTTTTTGAAAAGTTAGTTTATAAATAATGTAAAAGTCAAAGAGTTGTGACTACAAAAAAACAATGGACAAAACAAATATTTCATCATTCTAGATATGTTATAAATGCCCCAATCTGCTTACAGAACACGTACGCTATTCTGTTTTGTGCAGGCCGTTTCCATGCTTTTGAGAGAGCACATAATAAGGACAAAAAATCTAAAGGGCGTGGTGTTCGGCAGTTCAAAACTGCATTACTTCAGCGCCTTGAGCAGGTTAAATACTTTCTTATGCTCCGTTTGTTATAGAATTCCCGCTATATAATCACTCTAAAATAATCATCCTATCATATCTTATATCATTACTACGGTAAGGCTAATTGGTTTATAGTTTTGGTACCATTGTACTATCATTCATTTAATTCTAAACCGCGATTTTCTATCTAAAATTCCTGTCTGTTGGCTTATAATTGTTCAATGCTATACCCCTTTTTTGCCTTCTCTGTGCCACTTCTCTTGACTAGGCCTTACTACATACATGTTAATATACTTGATGTCTATATATTGTCGTACTTGCACTGATGGTAATTGGTAAATAATACGTCTAATAGTAAAATGCATACTCTGAGCATTTGGATGAGCATCCAACTGTTTCAAATGTCCCTGACTTGTTATGCTCTTCAAAAATAGGATATGGAAGACAGTATTGCTAGGCGGAAAGAAAAGAGTGATATACGTGAGCTTAGACGTGTTTTTAATGGATATAAAGATTATATCAACAGACACACTGGAACTGAGGAATTCATCAACAAGTAAGATTTACACTTACATTTTCAGAATACTGTTTTTTTCTTTGTCAAACTATGTGATAGGTGATTACTATTAGGTTAACTTTATGGATTTGTAGGTTATGAATCTAATATTTTGCAGAGATAAGTTTACAAATGCACGTGACATTGCGTCTGTTCTGTATGAAGTATTAGTTGCAGTTACAAGAGCAACTGGTCATCAGGTTTTATTTTTTCTCTGTCTTTCTGATTCAATTCATCATCAGCAATTTCAGAAATATTGCTAACAGCATTCTTATTGCTCTTTTACCCACCTTTCCCAACAGGTTCATGGTGATAGAGGCTCAATTGATCATGTCACGTACAATATCTTGCCACTGGGTAATGATGGTGTTCATCTACCTATCATGGTACTCCCTGAGGTGTGTTATTGCTGAAGAATTCTCTAGATAATGCTACATCTACATGATTCTTGTTTTCTTCTTTTTGATGGTATTATATGAGCTGTGTTGTGCTAGCTGTTCTTTAGGATGTTTGAGATATATTAGTTGAACTTTTTTGGTAACAGAACAGAAAGTTTACTGCAGATCAAGGTTGCTGTAGCAGCTGTACGCAATATTCGTGGTTTACCATTCATGGATGAATTCAAAAAGAACAAATCTCCCAGGGCTACTTATGACATATTTGACTGGCTTGGTTTTATCTTCGGGTTTCAGGTCCTATATATACTTTTTACTGGCTATTGTAATAACCTACTGGAAGGCTTTCGTTGATTCCATACCTGAATTCTATAAAATTTTACTGAATCCAGAAAGGAAATGTTGCCAACCAAAGGGAGCATCTAATTCTATTGCTTGCCAACACCCACATCCGACAGAGTCACAAGCTAGCATCAGTGCTGCAGGTAATTTTTCTGGCTTAACCTCTCCTCTTAAATAACATTTTCAACTGTTATCATTATGATTAGTATCGTGTCTTTTTATGAAGTTTTCTGATGGAGCATTGGATGGACTAATGAGAAAATTCTTCAAAAATTACACAAAGTGGTGCAAGTTTTTAGGCAAAAAAAGCAACATTCGGTGAGTAAATACCAATGAGCATTTATCTAGGTCTCTAGAGGACACAATGTCAATAACATTTCACCTTCTCGTTGAATGTTATTACTTTCTAGTTAATATTTTGTTCTGCATAATAATTTTGGGCAAAGATTCTTAAGGGAATGACTTATATGTGCAGGTTACCCTATGTGAAACAGGAAGCTCAACAATATAAACTATTGTATATAGCACTTTATCTTCTAATTTGGGGAGAAGCTGCAAACTTGCGATTGATGCCAGAATGTCTTTGTTATATATATCACCATGTAAGATGAAAAAGGCCACGACTTTCTTGAATGAGTTATCATGTATATTTGATGTAGTTACAATGCAGTTTTCCTTTGTCCCTAGTATCTCTTCTCTCTCTCGCTCTCTCAACCTCTTTCTCCAGTGTAAAGACAAACTCTTGGTTGTATCACTATTAATAAATCTAGTGGGGGATTTACTATGTCTAAATTACATACAGAATCAGCACCAATTTGGTGAATCAACACCAGCATGCAGAGTATTCTCTTTTCCTTGCAACTATGCCTTTTATTTGAATTTGCAATAATAGGGAAGTTTCACAAAATAAGATCCATTGGCTGTATCATTTTATTATACTCTGCCCTTGCTGAAAGATTTACAGATACTTGTGATAGTTGTCTTTGATGTTCTGCTTGGGTATCAAGTGTACAAGGTGTATATGCTCTGAAATGTCCAGTGTTAAATTCTTATAAATATCACTCAACTTTTGAAATTTATATTCATGTTCAGATGGCGTATGAGTTGCATAGCATGTTGACTGATGCTGTTAGCTTGATGACATGGGAGAAGGTCATGCCGGTATATGGAGGAGAGGATGAGGCTTTTCTTAAAAAAGTTGTCGGACCCATTTACGATGTTATATCTAGGGTGAGGTCCTCAGACTTGTATTCTTTCTTTACAGGTTTCATTCTTTGAATCTTTATTCTCAATCTAACTGCTTTCATTTGTATCAAGGAAGCTAAGAAAAGCAATAGTGGAATTGCTGATCATTCTAAATGGAGAAACTATGATGACCTGAACGAGTACTTCTGGTTAGATTGAGAGTTTTCTATACCTTCTTGCTAATATTTTTTTTAATTAAATTTCATAGGCCTTAAACAATTAACAATTTTTGTGATTGTATAAATGCAGGTCACCAGATTGTTTTTCAATAGGTTGGCCAATGCGTACAGATAAAAATGATCTTCATGATTTTTTCTTTGTGAACAATTCTCCTGCTAATCAAAGTAAGAAGAAGAAATTTCCTGATTATCAAAGTAAGGGCAACATCTTTGTTCGCTTTAAGAAGTTTATAGGAAAGAGCGCGGTGAAGGATGAGGAAGAAGGAGTAAGCCATCTCCTATACACTTGCTAGCTCTTTTCATTGCTTAGATGCATCTTTTTTTAGTTGATGACTTTCTTTTAATTGAAATAAATAAAGTAATGACTTTTCCCTTTTCAAGGTACTGTTATAATGTTGAGTATGATCTCAATATTAATTGTATATTGAGTATGATCTCTGTTGGTTTTGGCCACAAATTTATTACTCTTTTTCCTTCTCGAGCAATTGCGTAGTTTTGAGTTTTTGACAGAAGAAAGACAACTGATTAATTAGAAGCAAAAGTGATAATCAAGAAATTTTGTATAGCTCATTATATTAGAGAAGATTGCCTTTCATCTCCAAAAATAAAAAGAAAAAAAAAAGAAAAAAAAAAAAAAAAAAAGAAGGAAAAAAAAAAGAAAAAAAGAAAGAAAGATGCTATATGATGACAATGTTCAAATTGAGTTCCTAAGTTGACAAGCCAAGATTCTACAGCCATTATTATCTAAATTTTGGAACAAAGATCATAGAGTAGAGATTGGGAAAATTGATTGATATTGGAATCAGAACACAACTAGTTGCTTTTTGATGTGGGTAATTGCAAAGGTTAAATTCTTACATGGAGTTCTACAATGATTTGTTAGGAAATAACTGGTGCTTCTCTAAATATCAAGATACAACTGCTGATAATTCTGTGACATTGCTAGCACTAGCAGCAGCATTAGCTTGCTAGATGCTGTTGGACAATATCGGCTGATGGATCAAGGGATTTTGCTCCTTTTATTTTCATAACATTTATCTGTGTATTGGTTTGTGATCTTTCAACTGAATCATACATCATGGAGGATAAGGGTTCAGAAAAAGGGAATATTTTTTGCTGATAACCACCCCTCGAGTCCAAGTGATTCTGGTTGTGCTGAAGTGAAACTTGGAAATTTTATGCTGTTGATATTTCACAAACTAGAATATTCTTAGAAAATGAATTATGGAGGATAGCAGAGACATGATAATATATTGTAATTCACTTTTATAAATTTTTAGAAGACCACAATCATTTACTTCAACTGTAACCACCTCCCAATTATGTACACCAGTCTTGAGAATCAAGAAATTTGGTGGTATGCTGATACATATTTCTTTTGTATAGAGATTGAGTTTTTCTTTGTTTTTGGATTTATTCTTCTAATTGTTTGCAATGTAATTTATATCCAATTTGAAGCTTGGTATTGGTATCGGGTTACTACGCCTTCTAAATTCTATGTCCTTTTCTTGGGTTGGGCAATCTGGATTTGGTAATGCACAGCCTGAGCAAAATCTAAGCTGAGCTTAAATGTGTGGATTCTTTATGCTTCTTTGCAATTCATCTTTTATACCATCATTATCTATTTGATTAAGGCTTAGTTTTTGGTGGTTTGACTTATTTGTCAGGATATCCTGCAAATAATTTTAGTTTTAGAGGACAGTCAAAATCTGTTATAATTGCTATAATGAGTCTTTTCCATGGCAGATTCTGGAGACTGAAGACAAGGACAGTAAAAACAAATGGCTGGGGAAAACAAATTTTGTTGAGATTCGTTCGTTTTTGCAGTTATTTAGAAGTTTTGATCGAATGTGGAGCTTCTTAATTTTAGCCCTTCAGGTAGGATTACAAGCTATATCAACTGAAGATTGATGTTATATGATGTTTATATTAATAACTGAATTCCTTGTTTTTTTTCAGGCACTAGTTATTATTGCATGTCATGATGTTACCTCTCCTCTTCAGTTGATTGAGACAACAATACTTGAGGATTTAAGTAGCATCTTCATCACATCTGCAGGACTCAAAGTGGTACAAGGTACGGTGTTTTCTAGCAATTTTAACTTATATTCTGCACTTAAAACACTGTATGTTATTCTACATGATGGCAAGGAATTATGTTGACAACTGTTTGTGATAGATAAAGAACACAAGTAAAAGAATAGAGGATGAACATGTCAATTGGTGTCCACATTTCATGGAAGATAAGACCTTGCATTCATCAATAGATACAAGATCAACTTTGTGGTATCCACTTTATGAGTCCTGTCATAATTAACTAAAGTTCTTCTCAATTCAAAATTGTCTAGTTTATTTCCTTTCAAAAGAGTTATAAATGTAACGATATGTGTTACGCACCTTAAAGCAGCCTAATTAAGCATAAAAATGACTTTCTAGTTTCTATGAATGACGGTCAATTTCCTCTATAACTTTCCCATTACGATCATAAATTACATCACTGTCTGGATCTCGACATCAGTTTAATGACACTTCAATACTTGACAAAATATTCTGTAAAATTTTGTATGTAAATTAGGCTATAGAGTGCAGAATAATAAAATTTGGTTATGGTTTCTTGTATTGATAAGGAGATTGGGGCAACACTCAACTGCATTGTGGAGTGGGGTGGTTGGAGAGTTTCTATAGAGCCTTAGTACTTCTTAACTGAGATTAAATTAGAATCAACAATACAAACCTCATTTTTCAAGAAATCATTTCAAGCCTTTGGTTCAGTTATATCTGATTGCCGAATTAGGAAATAATTTACTTGACATTCTACTTTGATATCCTTTAATGTATAACTTTAGCCACAATATTATAGAAATGAAATTCTCTCTCTGTACACCATTGTTTTATTTTTTATTTGATGCAATCTCTGTACACCATTGTATAAGTATTTTAAAATCAGGCGTTCCAAGACATTTAGTTGATCCTGCAGCCAGAATGCTGGTCATCAATCTGGGATTCCTTACATACCTGCAAGGGCTGCAACATACTTTCTATGTATTTTTTTTTTTCTAACTTGCAACACAGTCTCATGACATGCACTTTGAGGAAGTGATTATAGAATGTAAACAGAACATATTATTAGTATAATGTATACACCTAATACCCTTACTCTTCCCTCCTACAGGTCGTTATATCATTTTGATAAACTGTTCCGTTTACCTACTCTCAATGTTTCATTAAAAAGCATGACATAAGGCAATTTTGGAAATAACTGAAAACAGAGGATGTATAGATTTAAGCATACATGAGAGTATAGAAAAGGAAAAAAATTAAGAAAACATTTTTTTTTTTCTTTCTTTTTTTTTCTATTTTTTTTTTTTTTCCTGTTGATGTTTACACTGCTTACTGTTCTCTGCAATAAGCACTTTAATATTGCATCGAATTACTCTTTTTCTTTTCCCTGGGGGATTGAGGGATGGTGGCCGCTGACAGGTTTAATTTTTACTTGTAATTTGAAAGGGCATGATTAATTGCTCAATTCTGTGAGCTGAGTTAACTAAGGCTGATTTATAAAGTGATCTACCTTGATCCTGTTAAGTGTTAACTGAAGTACTAGAATATTTGCAACGAATTTCCACTGATGAGCTGCTACAAAATTATATATCAATATAAAATAATTAACTATTTATTTTGCAGCTATTCTTGAGATTGCATTTACATGGAAAGCTAGGACAACAATGGATACCAAACGAATCTGGAAATATGTTTTGAGGCTAATTATTGCCACAATATGGGCAATAATTCTTCCTGTATTCTACGTGAACACGAGAAGGAAATATACTTGTTACTCCATCCGGCCTGGGACCTTGCTAGGAAAGTGGTGTTATTCATCATACATGATGGCGGTTGCTATTTACCTTATTGGTAATGCAGTTGATGTGATCCTTTTCTTTGTTCCCGCAATTGGTAGATATATTGAGACCTCAAATAACAGGATCTGCACCTATCTATCTTGGTGGACACAGGTACATGGTTGGATAATAGCTCCGAAAATATATTGCATATTTGCATGATAAAAATGTATCGGATGATACTTTTGAACTAGTAAGAATCAATAGCTGCCAAAGATTATATTCGAAAGTCTTACTTCGGTATATATATGTCAAAATAAGTCCCTAATTTTACTACTACTGGTTGCATGTAGTTTAATTTTTCTATACAAGAATGGTTTTCAATTTTTGTACAATAGGTAGTCTGTGATAATTATTCAAGCCAAAATTCTGATTCTATTATCTATGTAGTGTTTAATATGTACTAAAGATTCTACACTCTACAACGTACCCTTATTTGATTGCATTGGTGTACATGAAATAATACTAGTTTAGAGTTCAAAACATGTTCATGTTTTGAGTTGCATCAAAAGATGCTGTTCTGGATAAATTATCTGAAAACTATTTCATTAATTGATTTTATGTTGTCTTCTTCCTTCACCGTTATATACTTGGATGGATAGTTTTGTGATTGGCCCCTTTAGATAATAGAATTGATTTTGATGATATTTTGTGTGAATTTAGATTGAATATGTTAATGAATAATGCATGCTTAAGGTAGTTTCCTCATTTCAGACATTATATCAGTTCATGTTCTGACAATTTCTTTGTGTGACATAGCCTAGATTATTTGTTGGACGTGGAATGCAAGAAGATCAAGTTTCCTCATTCAAGTACTTATTCTTACTGCTTTACCTCACTTTTTGTTACGTTTATTTTCTTGCATCATAATGTTATATATTGAGAGATGCCTCACTTATTATTTGCTAGGTATATGTTATTCTGGGTGCTGCTACTACTGAGCAAACTGTCTTTCAGTTATTATTTTGAGGTGAGTACATGTCCTAATGTTTTTTCTCTATCTTATACCATGACCAAACAAGTTTAATCACTGTTTCAAGTTAACCTTATTGCCGATGTTTCTCAAAAGAAAAAAAAAAGTTAACCTTATTGCCAATGGGTTTTGCAGATAAAGCCACTTATAGAACCAACCAGACAAATGATGCGAGTTGGTTCGCATAGATATCAAAGGCGTGAGCTATTTCCTCATGGTAAACCTTAATAGTAGACTAGAGTATTTTTGGTTTGGTTGCTAACTTGGTTAGGAACTAATTACATGACTTCATAATGGTTCAGTCAAGAGTAATGCAGGTGTACTTGTTGCTGTTTGGGCTCCTATTCTTTTGGTAAGTTTATTTGAATCAAGGATGTAAATACATTCATCATTGCCAACCTAAGAGATGTTTAGTTGTATTAACTTATATTCTTTCTATTGAAGATAATGTTTCCATTACATTGACAAGTAACACTTTACAGTCTAAAATTAGTATCAAAGTAACAAAGTAGAACAGTGATTTTTAGCTAGACAATGAGGAAAGGAATTTAAGTAGACACAACACATAAGCATTCCCTTCTATCTGCCCTCTCCTCTCTCCCTCATATAACAAAATCGCAATAGTACCATTTTGAATTTGATGTGTTCATGTTTAATTTAATGGAAGAAAGATAAGAGACTCTAGTCCGAGGTGATTTGTATGTTAGTACTTCTATAGCAGACAAGGACCATGCAGAAGTTTTTTTGTCGAGAAAGTCCTGCAAGGATTTTCACTGAAATATGATTTTCTATCTTTCATGCCAACTTTCTTTCTCATCCCTTGCTTTCTTTATTGTTTGGGGAAGGAAAGAATATGAAATATTTGTTAATTATCCTTTTTCTATTAGGAGAATTGACTATTAACTCTTTTTGTTTCGGCAAAAGTGGAAGAGCAGCTCTTCTGTAGACAAATTTATTAGTAGCTGAATAATCTCCTTCTTTCCAACCAAACTTGTCAATTGACGATTTGAAGGTGATTGTGGCTGTCCATCTTTTGGAAAAAAATTGTTCAGCAAAAATGATCATGCCTCTTGATTACCAAATGATTCTTGTTATTCATGCATTAATAACATGAGCTTGGAAGCTGTTTTAGGTAGTTAAAGAACAGTGATACTGTAGGCTTATAAAAACAATTTGATATCTCTCATCTTTTGGCTTTCAGGTATATTTTATGGACACACAGATCTGGTATTCTGTTTTCTGTGCACTTTTTGGTGGCATTTATGGAATTCTGCATCACCTTGGTGAAGTATGTTTGAATTGATTTTTTATCTTCCCCCTCGCTTCTTCTTCTAAGCTATGTTATGTTATCTTAGTCATGCTTATACTGTACATACAGATACGGACACTAGGAATGCTACGAAGTAGATTTCAGTTGCTGCCTTCAGCATTTAATGCTCGCTTGATTCCACCGAATTTAAAAAATGATAGAGGCAGAATAAGCAAAGGGTTCTTTAGTCAACTGAAAAAGGTATTATTCTGCAAGTTAGTCCCCTGAAGTTAATCAATTGGACGATTTTTTGATACCTCTTTTCATTTGTAACTAATGCTGTCATAGGCATCTGGAGACAAAAAGGGTGATCTAGCAAAGTTTGTTACAATGTGGAACCAAATAATCATCAGTTTCCGGCAAGAGGACTTGATAAACAACAGGTAAGTAGTATTTGATAAGAAATCTAAATCATAAGCATTCCTTAGAAAAGTTCTTATGTGGTTTTTCTGTTTCCAGAGAGAGGGATTTGATGATTATGCCCTTGTCAGCAGAAATATTATCCGGCCATGTTCGTTGGCCTGTCTTCCTTTTGACAAATGAAGTAAGATGTGTCAAATTACTTTTCTAAGAACTTTTGCTATGATCTTTTTATGAGGCTTACAATGCCAATTCGCATCTATTCGATCAGTTCTCAACAGCATTGAGCATTGCTAAGGAATTTGATGGGAAAGATGAAGATCTAATTCAAAGGATAGGAAGAGGTAGCCTAATGTACTTTGCGGTGAAAGAGTGCTATAAGTCATTGAAGTATATTTTTGGAATCATTGCTGCTGGGGAATTGGAGAAGAGGTAGGGGACAGGAATTATTAGACTCATCTTTCCTCTCAACTATTTCCCATATCTATGTGCTAAATTTTTTTTATTTCTCTTCCGGGTTATGGTTTCTCCTTATGGAAATCTCTGGCTTTTCAGAATTGTTTCAGGTATTATATCTGAAATCAACGAAAGCATCCAAAGCTCTACCCTGCTTGAAAAGATTCAATTGAGTGAACTACCAGCTCTACATGCTAAATGTGTAGAATTGGTTGAGCTACTGGTAACTTTTTAAAAATTAATGATATTATGCTTCCCTTTTCCTTTCATCCAAATTTTAGTCAGGTGGCTAATTGATCATGTTGCTCAGGTCAAAGGGAATGAGCTTTATCATGTTGTAGTAGTAGATGTGGCTCGTCATGATGATGTAGTAGGTGCTCTTTATGTTCAAGTAGTGAAAGTACTCCAAGACATATTTGAACTTGTGACAAATGAAATGATGATAAATGGTTCCAGGTTTGTTTTCGTTATTCAATTAGTTTTATTTAGTTGTTATAAACTTATTGTTAACACTCAATATGAAATGTGTGCAGAACTTTGGATACGCTCCATTCTTCTGATCAAAAAGTTGAAGATTCAGCATTCTTCTCTAGGGAGATTCAACCAGAAATATTTGCATCGAAGGACTCTATTCATTTCCCATTGCCTAATGATGGGGCGCTTCATGACAAAGTAATTTCGATATAACTTCACTGTCTATAGTTATGCTGAATATTTCATAAAATCTTCTCATCCGTTAATATCCTAAAGACATATTGAATATCCATGAATTATTTTCTTGTCACTAGAACATCAATTTGTTTACAAATACTGATACGTAGTGGGATAAAGGCTTAGGAAATTGTTGTTTTAATTGTCTTCATTTGATATTTTGTGATCTCAAAACTGCACAAGGAAGCAGCATATATTATTCATCCCTGAACTAACATTGACTGTAAACAGATAAAACGCTTTCTCCTGCTGCTTACAGTCAAAGACAAAGCTATGGATGTTCCTGCAAACTTGGATGCTCGGAGGCGCATCTCTTTCTTTGCCACTTCTCTCTCTATGAATATGCCTGCTGCTCCTAAAGTGCGAAATATGCTATCATTCAGGTCAGCATTTATCTTATATGTGCTTTAGTCATCTTTTACAGTAGACGTGTATGTTCTTATGTATGAGATCTCCTGGTCATAAATTAGAGGTCTTTTTGTTGCAGTGTGTTGACCCCACATTACATGGAAGAAGTCAAGTTTTCTATGAAAGAACTTTTATCAAGCCAAGAACAAGTATCAATCATATTCTATATGAGAAAGATATATCCAGGTTTTTTTTTGTAGTATCATAGTTCTTTTCTTCACAGCTTGTAACTGTTTGTAAAGATTTGCCTCATGACAATACTATTTTACACTTTCAGATCAGTGGAAAAATTTCTTAGAACGTATGGATTGTGAAGATTTAAATGATTTGATGGAAAAAGACAAAGAGGCTGAGCTTAGGGATTGGGCTTCGTTCCGGGGTCAGACTTTAAGCAGAACAGGTAGAGGAAGCGCAATGCTATTATGCAATGATATTCTATTCTAATACCAGTTTCAGATATATGTTTAGTTCCTATTTAACTTCTATTTTCATTTCTTTGATGCTAACAGTCAGAGGAATGATGTACTACAAAAAAGCCCTGAAATTACAAGCATATCTTGACATGGCAGAGGATAAAGGTTCATTCGACTGAGAATTAGGATTTAACTTAATGATCTAGCTTCTGACATGATATATGAAGGGCTTTTTTGCCCCTTGTGAAAATTCATCAGTTAACTAATGAATGCATTGATTATGCAGATATTCTTCAAGGTTATGATGCCATTGAGAGGGGGAATGAGAGTCTCTCTGCTCATCTGGATGCATTATCAGACATGAAATTTACATATGTTGTTACATGGCAAATGTACGGTACATGCAAAAGAGATGGTGATCCACGTGCACAGGACATGCTTGATCTGATGACTAGGTAATTATTAAGAGTGAGTACTATAATTGCTTCCCATCGAAATTCAAACCTTAGTTGAATGAAATTAATATGGCGACTACTGGATCAAATGATCAATGACGACAGGTACCCAGCTTTACGTGTTGCTTATGTTGAAGAGACAGAAGAAACAATTGCAGATGAGTCTGAAAAGGCTAAGGTTTATTCGTCTGTGCTAGTCAAAGGCGGAATCAATGGTCATGACCAGGTAAAGGACAGTGCAAATTGTTGGAATCTTAAGGGTTGCAATATGAGAAAATGGCCTTAGAGGGTTCTTACAGAAGAAAGGAAAATCATAGAAAACTTCCCTCTGGACCAACCAAAGTTAATCACATGTTCTGTACTTTTGCTAAACATTAATATTAGGTTTCCATACGTAAAACAGAATTATATGCGTAATAGTTGTGATGATACTCAGACTTATAAACTCATTGTATAGATTAACATGAAATTTTGATCTTTACAACCTTTATTTCAGAGAATTTCTCATTATAAATTCTATAACTTTAAGCAGTATAGTTCTCATTCTGATACAATTTGGCAGGAGGTGTATCGTATAAAGCTTCCCGGTCCGCCTAATATAGGTGAAGGAAAACCAGAAAACCAAAACCATGCAATAATTTTTACACGTGGTGAAGCCCTCCAGACAATAGATATGAATCAAGTATGTGTGCTACTAGGTAACGGTGTAAAAGATTCATTACAAAATTTTTTGTCTTTCTCACATTGTATGTACTCTCAGGATAACTATTTGGAAGAAGCTTACAAAATGAGAAACATACTGCAAGAATTTTTTGAAGACCGAGGACGCCGGGCTCCCACTATAGTCGGTTTGAGAGAACATGTATTTACTGGAAGGTCAGTGTATATGAACTCATTGATGTGAATGCTGTTGGCTATGCTTGAATGTCAGACTCGAGTATGAGTTCAAATCTTACATGGACATTCTAAATTTGAATATGTGGGTCACGGTTACAAGAGTCTACAACTGTTTCTTTATCTTATCTAATATTGTGTCTTATACACTTTGTTTTCATATTCCAAATGAACTCCCTGGATGTGAGAAAAAGCTGATATCTTGCTACCAAAAAAAAAAAAAAAAAAAGGTCTCTTTGATTCATCTAGCTTATAGTAGTCAGCGTATCAATGTGTCACTCTTGATATGCTATTAACTTTATTTTTATTATGTAAGCTATGCTAATGAGTGTTATTACGCGTGACTCAGTGTTTCTACCCTAGCATGGTTCATGTCATACCAAGAGACAAGCTTTGTGACCATTGGCCAGAGAATATTAGCTAATCCTCTCAGGTAAACTTTTGGTTATTGCCACATGTTTTATTTATTCAAAAAAAGTTTGATACAATGCACCATGGATGAATTCATTTTCTGCCTATTTGAACAAGTGCATGTCAACAATTCTCATTTTATACTTGGTAGTTTGAGATATGCTTTGTGTTTTCTATAATCAATCTTCTGACTATTAGATAAATCAGCATGATTATCAAATTTGATTAACTTTTTGTACTCCACTTTTCCTGCACAGGGTACGGTTTCATTATGGTCATCCAGATATATTTGATAGGATATTTCACATAACACGAGGAGGTATCAGCAAAGCATCAAAAACAATAAACCTAAGCGAGGATGTTTTTGCGGGTAGAAATCTGTAGCCATCTTTGTTTTGTTTAACATATTATGTAATTTGTATGGTGAGGCACCATTTATGTGCAGGATTCAACTCTGTACTGCGGCGTGGATATGTGACTTATCAGGAATATATCCAAGTGGGAAAGGGTCGTGATGTAGGACTAATCCAGATATCAAAATTTGAAGCGAAAGTAGCTAATGGAAACAGTGAACAGACTCTAACCCGTGACATTTATCGTCTTGGGCAGCAATTTGACTTCTTCCGGATGTTATCATGTTATTACACAACCATTGGTTTCTATTTCAGTAACCTGGTATGTTTTTCTAGTGGCATTTCTGCTTGCATTCCCTCCCTATGGCTCTATTTGTATATTGTTACTTTCTATAAGATTTTCATTCTGTAGATCTTTGTCGTTCTACGATTAACATCTCTATTATCCTTTATCTCCTTTCAACACTTCCTGCTTTTCTTGCATGCTGTTTTTCCTTATTTTGCTACTGTCAAACAATATTTTACATTGTTATGCTTGTTAACATGCATCTTTTATTACTAACTTGGTTTTTAAATCACATTCATGTATCAATTTCTTTAATTGCTTTATTTCTTTCAGCAACTATCTTAAGCCTTCATTACTTCATACTAACTATAATTATACTGCCGAAACCTCTCAGGTATCAGTTATTTCCATTTATGTGTTCCTCTACGGGCAGTTGTACCTTGTTCTAAGTGGACTGCAAAAAGTACTCATAATTGAAGCTCGAGTCCATAACGTACAGTCCTTAGAAACTGCTCTGGCTTCACAGTCATTTATACAACTAGGACTCTTGACGGGGCTACCTATGGTTATGGAGATTGCATTAGAGAGAGGGTTTTACACCGCTCTTAAAGATTTTGTTCTTATGCAGCTGCAGCTTGCTTCTGTATTCTTCACCTTTTCTTGTGGAGCAAAATCTCATTATTATGGCCGAACAATTCTCCATGGTGGTGCCAAATATATTCCTACAGGTCGCAAAGTTGTGATATTTCATGCCACCTTCTCAGAAAACTACAGATTGTATTCGAGAAGCCACTTTGTAAAAGGGTTTGAGCTGCTGCTACTGTTGACTGTGTATGATCTGTATCGGAAGTCCTATCAAAGCAGCATGGCATACGTTCTGATCACCTATGCAATCTGGTTCTTGTCGCTGACATGGTTGTTTGCTCCATTTCTGTTTAATCCATCTGGCTTTGACTGGCCTATAATTGTAGATGACTGGAGAGATTGGAATAAGTGGATACGGCAGCAAGGTGGTATAGGAATCCCACCTGATAAGAGTTGGCAGTCCTGGTGGGATGATGAGCAGGAGCATATTCGCCGTTCCAGATGGAGTTCTAGGATCATTGAAATTATTCTCTCACTAAGGTTTTTCGTGTATCAGTATGGTTTGGTCTATCAATTAGACATATCCAAAAACAGCAGCAATTTTATTGTGTACGTGCTCTCATGGGTTGTCATAGGTGTGATTTTTCTATTGGTTAAGGTAAAATTTATAATTTTCTTTTTCACAAATTGATTATGCATTACTTTGTTAACAGTTAAGTGTACAATCTTTGACAATGCTATGGAGAAAAACCGGACTGAATTGCTATTATAAGGTAAAGATGGATCTAATTCATATAGTGATTTTGACCAGACTAGTATTCTTTAGGGAACCCTCCCTATCATAATGTGATGATTGTGATCATCAGATCCTGTAAGTAATGAACAGCTATCATCAAGTGACCACGTAATGCATTGATGCAGTTCCCTAATAGTTCCTAAAGAAATTAGAATTTTAATACTGATAACTTGCAGTTCCATCTAATAATGAGTAATAATACTCGGGAACTTCTAATGGCTCATCCAATGTTATGCTGATGTTGTAATTCCCAGGTAGTTTTCCGGATTTGAAAACGTCTTATGACTGTATTGTAGCCAACTTTTAACTAAATGATCTGATCTTCCCAGTCTTTATGTCATTGAATTGTGCTTTATCTATAATCACTTCATTTTTTTACTATTATTGATGGCTAAATTAGGTTTGTATTAATTCTCATTGAGATGATGTTTATTTGTTGTACAGATAGTGAATGTGGGAAGGCAGTGGCTCAGTGCTAATCATCAGTTTTTGTTCAGACTATTCAAAGCATGTCTTTTCTTGGCTGTTATATCTACTATTATCACGCTTTCGCTCTTATGCAATCTGTCTATCATGGACTTGATTGTGTGCTGCCTGGCCTTTCTTCCCACTGGATGGGGATTGATATTGGTAAGCTAGTCAGAGACATTTTTTTTTTTCTTTTCTATATTCCTGTAATTCTGTAATCAGGAGTGTAAAACAAACATTTACTTCTTATTACTGACATTTATTTTTTCTTCAGATTGCACAAGCTCTAAGGCCACTGATAGAGAACACTGGAATCTGGGACTTTGCTCAGGTTTTTGCTCGATGGTATGATTTTGGCATGGGCGTTGTCCTTTTTGCTCCCATCGCCTCATTTTCCTGGCTTCCGATTATTTCAGCCTTTCAAACTCGGTTTCTTTTCAATGAAGCCTACAACAGGAGGTTACATATTCTACCTATTCTTCAAGGCCAAGGGAAAAAGAAGTGCACTTAGGTTGCTCAGGATAGCTCATTCTTCTCTATGTATAGTCAAACCATATTAACAAAACCTTAGGTAGATGTAAAAATAACATAGGCATATTTTTTCAGAACAATATAGGAATTTTATTGTGTAGCTTGAGAACAAATAAAATTTGAAATGGTATATAGATTAGCAGTAATACCAGTATTTTAAGAAAACTATTGCAACAAGTTCTCCCTCAAAATTTGGATTACTAATAACATTAATCTGAGATAATTCAACAGAACTAATTAGAGTCTGCAATTTTCTTAAGCTCACTTGCAACTTCAATCATACTTGGTCTGTCATCTTCATTACGATGTGTGCATCTCCAAGCAAGCTCAAATACTTCCTGCAATTGCTGTTGCTTTCCACTATCTTCTATTTCACATGAAATTTCAGGATCTACGAACATACTGATCTTAAGATTTTGGTCATGTTCCCGTATTCTTCTAGAAATATCAAATTGGTACCAATATGTAAGCCTGTTGCGGCCAACCAAAAGCTCAAAAAGCAGTACACCTAAACAATATACGTCAGTTTTTTCTGTCAACCTTCCAGACATTATATACTCAGGTGCATTACTACCTGTAGTTCCAACTACTGCATCATTGACATGAACTTCACCTTCAGGGATCAACACTGAGAAGTAGTACCCTGTGAGCTTCGTGACATAGTCTTTGTCCAAATATACATCTTTAATGCTCAAGTTTCTGAAAATCACCGGCCTACAAAAACCATTTTGGAGGTATGCAAGGGCATATGATATTTCGGAGCCAATTTTTAACCTGAGTTTCCATGGAAAAAATCCTGTATTAGTATTACTGATAATATCTTGAAGACATCCTTGATCAGGGAACTCATACACAATAACTGGAAGTTCTGTTTCGAGGCAACAACCTATCAGCTTTAAAGAATTTTGATGCATGCACATTTGTGTTGCTGTGACAATTTCTCGAAGAATGCCTTCTACACCAACAAATGAGTTTACTGAGTGAAATTTCTTGATGAAAACACGTCGGTTGCCCTCATCTATTGTACCGCAGAATATTCGGTAATGAGCATCCGGTATATAATCTGAAGTGAAGGTGCTCATCTTTGTAACTTCGTTAGCTGAGAAAACATGGATGGGAAGATTCTTTCCCTTACAGACGGCAATGATTTCTTCTTGTAGCAAGCTTCCATTCCTTATGAAGTTGTTTTCACATTCCTTCAGTTTCTGTTTTGTCCAACAACATTTGAATGCTATCATATCGAACATTATAAAGAGATTGTAGTACTATGTGGAAATTTTTGTTTGGAAGGTGGAAAAATAAACTATATGTTACAATTGCATATGGAATTTGTATAGGCTTACAACCCTAGAAATATCGTTAAAGTCAACTTTGGATGCTCATCATTTCAAAGTCGTTAATTAGCGCGTAAGACTCGTTTACTGCTGACAATAGTAAAGAATGAGAAGGTTCTCAATGATTATAATGTTGAAATTATAAATAGAGATGAGAGGGGGGAAAGAATATTATAAACTTGTATTAAATCCATTTCGAAGAACAATTTACAAGGGTTTTAATAGGAAAGTGCTACTAACAAACTGCAAACTGAAATGCTAAGAATTAGTGACATGTCCTCCACTAACGGCTTGGATAATTTACCACTAACAACATGCTAACAAACTACATTATTTAATTAAGAATCCTAGGCTACCAACACTCTTAAATAATAGGAACTGATTTTGATCACGTTACTCAACATATAAAACATTCTCTTGTCCTTTTGCTTGTGGCTCTGTACTTTTTGTATTATTTTAAAAAGGAAATATTGGCTGTAACGACATCAACTATATAACAAAGGTACGTGTAGCAGCACAACCTTTTAAGAGTGTGATCCACATCACAAATTATGCACATTGGTGCACATAACAGTATAAATGTCACCAGCGAACTAAGATTTCATGGAAAAAGTGGAATCTTCATTATTTTATTATTGTTTAAATATTTTTTAAACTTAGATAATTTCCTGTCATGCGTGACTAGTTACTCTTCCTTTCAATTAATTATTTTCATTTAAACACTTCTTAACCTCCACCATTAAAGCATATCTTCAAAAAGTTTTGCTATTGCTTTCCTTTGTTCATTTCTTCTATTATATTTTTTATGTCAATTTCATGTGATTGACTTAGTTTCCTCTCCCTCGTTCTCCATAGCATAATTGGAAACATTATTTCATTTTCCGCGTTAGACGCTTGTGGAATTGAATTTCAAATAAAAGACAACAGTTGTTCCTTTATTTCGATAATATCTTCTGTGATTTTGCACGATAAGAAAATGGTCTATATGTGCTATGGTTTGATAAACAAATCTGTAACATTGAAAATATTACCAAAAGGGCTAAGACTAGTGACTGATCAAATACCACTTATCTACGGCATTAGCGATTAGGCCATATTAACATAAAATGCATACAAAAACTTCAAAAGGAAGAAATTCTACACGATTCATTTGACTTAGATTCGATTGAATATTGCGAATTATGTTTATATGGAAAAATGACAAGATAATCTTTCACCAAGTTAGGAGAAAGGCCAAGTGATCTAATAGGCATTATACACACGCATGTGTGCAACCTAATGAGCTAAACTACTAGAGGTGAATTTCACTACTTCATCACGTTTACTAATGACTTTAGTAGATATGGCTAAATCTATTTAATGTCACATGAATCTGATTCGTTTGAAAGATTCAAAGAATTTAAAAATGAAGGAGGAAAACAGCTTAGAAAAAAGATCAAGGCACTTTAATTAAATGGAGGTGGAGAATATCTAAGTCGGGAATTCATCTGAAAGAACATGGAATTTTATCAGAATTAACACCACCTGGTACACCTCAATGGAATGGTGTGTGTCTGAGAGGAGAAATCAAACGTTGTTAAACATGGATCGGTCAATGATGAGTTAGGCCGAACATCCTATAAATTTCTAGGAACATGCATTGCAAACAGCAACATTAACAATGAATCGTGTTCTGTCAAAAGCTGTCTAAAAGACTCCGTAAGAAATATGGATAGAGAAACCTTCTAGGTAGGCTATCTTTTCTTTAGATTTAGGGTTGTGAAGTTTTGTTAAGTATGCCTAACAAACTTGCACCAAAGTCTGATAAGTGTTTCTTTGTGGGTTATCCAAAAGAACAAAGGGGTATTACTTCTACAACCAATCTTAGAACTAAGTATTGTGCTCGAGAGGATGTCTTTCTTGAAAAGAAACATATTTCCTAAACGACAAGTGGGAGGAAAATAGAACTCGATAAGATTCGAGATGAGCAACAAACACAATCTGACACACAAAGGACTTTAGAAGTGCCTATTGTTGAAATTCAAAGTCAACTCAATGACGTGGATGCTCAAGCCCCACGAAGGTCACAGATGCCAAAATCTTAGCCAGATAGATACGATGGGAACTTGACAACTGAGAATCATGAAATCTTGGTATTAAATATTGATAAGCCTTTTACATACAAGCAAGATATGATGAGCCCTGACTCCCAAAAATGGTTAGAGGTCATGAAAATCCCGAAATAGACTCCATGTTTGAAACCAAGTATGGGACTTAGTTGATTTGCCCGAAGGGTATAGACTTATTAGTTGCAAATGGTTTTTTCAAGTTGAAACTCGACGAAGATGGAAATGTATATGTATACAAAGCTAGATTTATTGGTAACAAAAGGTTACAGACTAATTCACGGCGTTGATTATGATGTAACCTTTTTATCAGTTGCAATGCTTAAGTTTGTAAGGATTATTCTAGCAATAATTGCATATTATGATTCTGAAATATGGCAGATGGATGTTAAAACCACCTTCCTCAATGGGATTTTGGAAGAGGTTGTGTATATGACATAGCTTGAAAATTTTATCGATCCAAATAATATTTACCAATTTAATATTTATTGTCATTCCCATAATATATACTATCAAAGAGAGAAAGAAAGATATCAATACATACATATGTCATTATATATGGTTTTAAATATGGTTTAAACAATTGTTAGATATTTCGTCAATTGAAACATAAATATTATCAAATATATGAGTCGTACTATCATTAACGTAATTTCTATTCACTTCAATAGATACTAAATCTTGTGCATACATTGATTTAATGTGTTCTCATCAATAGATATTTTGTCATTTAGGTAATTATCTCTACAAAGACAGCAGTGTGGTGTTTTCATATTTGGAGTGTAGTGTATAAGGCGTTAGTGATAGTAAAAGAATCTCTCTCTCTCTCTTTTTTTTTTTTTTGACAAGAAGAACAATCAAACAAAAAAAAGGTCAAAAAGAAAAATATAAAAGCTGACGATGTCTCGCCGTCGTGGCCAACCAATGAGCTAGAGTAATCCAAGAACAAGGGACCTTTCTAATTCTGCACACAGTAAGACTCAAAATAGTAGACTGGATATCACGGAATAGCCAATTAGCAAATATACCCCGAACCACATAGCAGGCAGGGAAACCAAGGTAGAACAATCGGTGTACATGAGAATACGACTATAACCTTTCCGAATAGCCAATTAGCAAAAATAGGAATATACCCCGAACCACATAGCGCTCAGCACCTTCCCTGCCACACACAGCCACGCGCATTGGTGCAATGGCCTTGCGTGCACCATAGGCAGCCTACATGTGGGCTGCTAGGCAGCCCGGCTAGCCTTGGTGACGCTTACGGTTTTGCATCGATTTGCGTGCATTTCCTCGGAATTTTAATTCCGATTTGTGTGTGACAATAATTAAATCTAAATTATATTTTAGAATCAATTTGAGGGAAAAAACAAAATAAAATAAAATTAAGTCCTACTTAAATAAAATTTATTTTATTGGTGCACAAGCCTAAATTATCCAAAAATTTTAATTTTGAACAAAATTAGGTCTAACTTTATGCTTAAAATAAAACGAGCTATGTCCATAATTAGTCTTGCCAATATGCAAATTAATAATGGGTTTGACAAATGGGAGTTGGAAAAATAAATTAACCATCCAATGATAAAATTTTTCCAACTTGCATACTTGTGTAAAATACCAAGATTACATCTTCCAATATGAAGATTAATCAAATTTTACTCACAAGTAATTGAACTTGATGGATTTTAATCAACCAAACATGAAAAATCCAAACTTTGTTCAACATGGAATTTAGGGTTAGGGTTCCAATCATTTAAAGCTTTAAAGATTAGAACTTTAACATTATAGGAACTTAAAATTACAAGATCACAACAAGCTTTCACATTTTATTGCAGTTTATTTGCAAAATTTGTGAAAAACAAGTTTATGTGAAAAAATGGTATATCAACTTAAGCACTAATAAAAACTCCATTATTATGCTTAAGGATATTTTAAAACCAGTAGATTAGTGATGCAAATGTGCATTTAATCTAACCTTGTAATGCTTGCATTAATCAAGGCTTAAAAGAATTAAAATTTTCGTTGAAAAACGAAAAACCCCATAAAAAAATGGGTTTCTGGTTCGAATTTGGCTTCTGGACAGTCCTAGAAGGGTTGAATCTGTTCCAGAATGTCGATTCCACCCAAAAATCACTATTTTTGAGCCAAAATCTGGGTTCGACAGCTAAATCGAGAATAAAATCGAGTTTTAAAAATTAATTAAAACGAGCATCTAATCTAATTAGAAGAACATGAACTAGAAAAATAAATTCCTTTAAAACACCTTAATTAAAAAATAATTGCAAAAATTAAAAGGAGCGTGGCTTTGATACCGCTGTAGGGTTTTGTAGTGACCCGACACTACGCGGAAGGAAACCTACCAAGACCCGCCCCTTAATAAAACAATTAACAACCATATTAAACTTAATCAAAGAAGATTAAGAACAAGAATTATACCTTTGTCGCGTGCTTCGCTCCCAAAGAGCTCTTACTTCAAAATCCCGAAAACACGAGATCTCTGACGGATCGTACCCTCGACCCGACCCGAGCGTCCTAAGTCTTGAAGGTTAGTCAAGACCCGGACAAAATAACTATGAGTTTTACGAATCAAAGGTTTACTCTTAATTAGAGTTGCCTTTTTAATTCCACTCAAGTGAGGACCAAAGGCTTGGGGGGACCATTGCCTTGATCCCCAAGCCATTGCTCCAAGAAATGGTCCCCACTTGCAAAACCGGCTCTAGCAAGGCTTGTTAGGCTGCTGCCAGCTCCCTCGCATGCATAGCACGCCCAGCGCTGCTGCTCGCTAGCTAGCCAGACGATGCTGCTTGCTAGCTAGGCGCTAGTGTTGGCTTCTGGCACGCATCAGCCCTCGCCATCGCACACGCTAGCATAGCCAGCATGCGTGCTGCTAGCAAGCCACGCATGCTGGCCCCTTGCCTTGCCAGCCATGCGCACCAGCCTCGCATGCTGCTGCTGCTGCGATGCCCTCCACGCACATGCACACGCACACAAGGCTTACCATGGTGTTGTGCTTGTGCGAGGTGCCTGCGATGGTGCCTAGTACCCAAGCACGCATGCTGCGATGCAATGCCATGCGAAGGCACGCATGTGTGCAGGCATGCTTGTTGTGATGATGTGATGGGCTAAGGCACAAGCACACGTACACACGCACTGGCCTAGCCATGCGATGGTGCTGTGCTTGTGCTGCGATGGGTTGCTATAGTGCACATAGCACTTGCGATGGGCTGCGATGGTGCCCAAGGTGCGCTTAGTGCCTGTGATGGAAGCGATGGTGCCTAGGCATCATGCTAGGGCTCCAATAGCGCCTAGGCATGATGCTAGGGTTGCGATAGTGCGCCTAGTGCACCTAGTGTGCTAAGGCTTGCGCCTAGCCATGCTAGGTGCATGCTAGCTCGAACTAGCCTAGCATCCACATGGTCAGGCCAGTGTGGTGCTAGGGCTATGTTCATACTTGTCGCTTTGTGATTTTGCAACACTCGGTCTCGACGCCCTAGGCTCGATATCCGACGTCTGTATTCGTAAAAGTCTGCTGACTCATTAAATCCTTTCGGATTAATTCGTCGTCTTGGATCGGTAATTCGATTGGGTTCGACCCGAAGGGTTCAGTTAAGATTAAGTTGTAACATCAATTGTACATTGATATTACTGATCAGAAGCGGCCTCCACCTAGGCATTCCGATCACTTGACCTTACTGAAGAATTAGCTCCATAATAATTCTGAACCCTCTATCGGAAGAATAAACTTGTTGGAAGGACATCATTCCTTTCAAAAGACACGCTTGTAATTCCGCCTGAAGAGCTTAAGCTGAGTGACAAGCCCTTGTGCAACCTCCAAGAACCTGCGAAGAGTTAATCGTTTGAAGAATCCAACCCATACCAGCACAATTATCCGACAAAGACCATGCGCCGTTGAAAAGTAAACACAAAGCTATAGAATCCGAAGAAATTCTCCGAAGACAATGAACATAATCTGGAGGAGAGGTGTCCCTATCACGATGCAAAAGACAGGTTTTTTGTTTTACCTCATATGCCTGAGAATTCTTAGCAACCCACTTCGCTGCTATCTCCAATCACATATTCGGAGAAGAAGAATATCGACAAAAGTGAACGTCATTGAGAACCAACCAAATTGCCAAAAGTTGACCTAAAACCAAGCCTAACCGTCCCAATACTTGAAGGAAGTGAAGAGGGAGATGACAATGGTAAACCAAACCAAAAAAGGTTAAGAATGCAAAGAGTTGCGAGTAAAACCCAATGGACCCCGGACCCAAAAACATCTCGATAAAGGACAATCCATGAAGAGATGAGATACTGACTCTTGATCCTGCCAACAGAAAACACAAACAGGGTCTACTGGTAAACCCCTGGATCGTAGTTTAGGAGTCAATGGTAATGCGTCATAAAAAATTTTCTAACAGAATATCTTCCATTTAGGAAGAACGAGCAAGTCCCAAAAATGTTTCCACCATGAAGAAGAAACCCGAATAGAAGGAACAATAGGGGACATTGTCGGATAAACATCGCATATGCAGATTTGTAGAAAAGGAGCCATCCCTGGTAAACTTCTAATATACAAAATCATCTATCGGTAGAAGAGGCCGACCCATAGACAGAATAAAGGAAGCCGTAGGATCATCAAACAGCCGATGTATTTTAAATGAGTCCCACGCGTTTGAACACGGATCAAGAAGATCAGAAACAAGAGACTGACGAACCGACTCAGAACAAGAAGCTTTAAACTGTATATAATTTCCCAAAACCCAAGTATCCTCAGTAATCCTAACCCGAGAGCTTGTGCCAACCTTCCAAGCTATCCCCTGGGATAGAGTAGAAAAGCCCTCCACTAGACCACGACATCCCCATGAAGGATGATGAATCCTGGAAAAAGAGCAGGAGGTAAGTGAAGGATACTTGGAAAAGAGAAGACGTGACACCAGAAGTTGCGGATGATGCATAAGATGCCAACTTTGCTTGGCTAAGAGGGCAGAGTTAAAGCATCCCAAACGTCGGAGACTAAGCCCACCTAAATCCTTGGGTAAATGAAAAAGGGAAGGAGAACTAAAAGCTATACCCTGAGACTCAAAAGATTTCCACCAAAAGCTGGTAAGCAAACTATCGATGCGGTCACAAATGGACTTCGAAACTCTAAACACTAAGAGAATGTGGTTAAAAGAGGCAACCAGAATGCTATTAATAATTACCAAGTTTGCAGCAGAGGACAGACAAAGACTGGCAAAACCCGATAAGCGACGGACAATCTTATCCACTAGGAACCCGAACTCAGCCGTTTTACTACAACCCATGTCCATTGGAAGACCCAGATACGAGCTTAGAGAAGGTTTAGTAGTAAGATGCAGCCAAGTAATCCCTAAAGTCATCCGGAGTGTTGGGACTGAACATAACAAAGGATTTTTGCAGGCTAACCATTTGACCTGAAATCGAAAAGAAATCATGTAATAAAGACATAACCTGATCACAAGCTGCCGGAGAAACTCGGAAGAACAAAAATGCATCATCCGAAAAAGAATAGGTGAGAAATAGGAGGGCTTCCCCTAGAAATACGAAGACCCTCTAATAATGTGTCCCTCTCAGCCTTGTGGATCATGGCAGAAAGAACTTCCATGCAAAGAACAAACAAATAAGGGGAGAGCGGATCTCCTTGGCGAAGACCACAATGCGGGTGAAAAGAAGGAGAAGGGATAACCGTTGACCAAAACCTGATAGGAAACAGTAGACGCGCACTGTTTTATAAGACGGATCTAGTAAGGAGGGAAACCAAAAACCTGCAGCACTTGAAGTAAGAAGTCCTAACGGACTCGATCATAAGCTTTATTCATGTCTAGTTTAAGAGCTGCATAAAATCGTTTGCGTGTCCGAGAGGCGTTCATGAAAGAGTGAAGCTCGTGAGCTATCAGGGCATTATCAGACATCAGGCGCCCGGGAGCAAAAACATTCTGAAAGTCAAAGACCAGGAAAGGCATAATTTTCCTAAGACGTCTAGTGAGACATTTTGCAATGCATTTATACAATATATTTCACAACCCTATAGGCCAAAATTAAGAAACTAGTTCCGGATTGTCCACTTTAGGCAGAAGAACCAAGAAGGTACGATTCCAGTCTTTTAGCATGTACCCATAAGCAAAAAAAATACTGAACAACATAAACCACATGGTTACCCACCTCATGCCTGTAAGACTTGAAGAAAGCCGAAGTAAATTCGTTCGGGCTAGGAGACTTTCCGTCATCAATACCAAACATCAATGTACGAATCTCTAGAGTCGAAAATGGAACCAACAACTGACTCCGAAGCTCAGCAGATAGGGAAGGTAGGTGTAATTGATCCCATTCAAAAGTTTTTAACTTAGAAGATGAAGGTGGCACAGCATATAAGTTAGAATAGAAATTCATAATTTCCTGACGAATCAAAGTAGGGTTAGAAATCTAGAAGCCAGAATCATCTTTTAGGGAGAGGATCCAGTTCCGACGACAACGAGCCTGAACAGAAGAGAATAGCAGCCGAGAATGGGATTCTCCAAAGGCATCCCACTTAATCTTCGCTCGTTGCCGCCAAAATAGAAAAGCAGCTTGAGCTTTAGCAATCGTTTCCCTCCTTGTAGAAATGAATATAGCCCGATCAACGTGAAAGTGAAGACATAAAGATTTATGTTCAACCTCCGAAATTAACTCTTTCTAATTGATACCGTATTCTCTCTCATGGGACACACACCATGCTAAAAGACAACCGCGAATAAGTGAAAGTTTCTTTGATAAAGAGAACATCAGAGAACTAGGAAAATGTTGTGTGCAATTAGTGGAAATAAGTGTTCCAACCTCGAAGATAATAAGCACCAATTTTCAATCCTGTATGGCCTCTTTCCCAAAAATTACGAAGAATAGTCCGATAAAATAATAGTAGCATGATCAGAAAACAGAATGGGTTAATGAGCTACAATTATCTCCGGATAATCTTGGAACCAAGGAGCAGTCGCATAGGCCCTATCTAGATGCTCAAAAGTTTAATCAAAATCATAACGATTATTAGTTCAGGTATACTCAGGGCCAAAGAACGGAACTAATTAGGAAAGCTAAATATTTAGTGAGGTCAAGTGATCGGAATGCCTAGCTGAAGGCAGCTTCCGGCTAGTAATATTAATTTACAATTAATATTACAGCTTGCTCTTGACTGAACCCTTCGGGTCACACCCAATCGTGTAAGAGAACCATGGCGACAAATTCATCTGGAGGATTAAATGAGCCGATAGTGATTTTACAAACTAAGACGCCGGATTCCGAGCATAGAGCGTCGAAGCCGAGCGTCGAACGTCGAGTTTATTTATGCAATCGGCGAGACGAGAAAATTAGTCAAACAAGTCATAACGCATAGCCCTAGCGTCGAACGTCGAGTTTATTTATGCAATGTGGCTAGCAAGGGCTGCTAGCACGCAAGGCAATGTCCGCAAGCCCAGCAGCAGCATACACGTGCTAGCTGGGCAGTCGCGCCATGCCGAGCAAGCCAGCAGCGTTGGCTCGCTAGCACAGCAAGCTAGCAGCTTTAGCAAGGCGAGCAGCTAGCAAGCTCGCTGGGCCTCGCTAGCTCTTACTAGCGCCAGCACACACAGCAGCCTGCAAGCACGCAAAGCTTACTAGGCATGTGAGCAGTGGCTGGGCGTCGCTGGCTGGGCCATCCGAGCACAAGGGCTGCCAGCGTGGCGCGCCTTGTTGCTCAAGGATTGGCGACCAACTGGCCGTAGCCCATTGGATCCGGTTTTGGGAGGGCCTTGCTTGGGGAGCAAGGAGACCTTGTGGTCCTCACCTACTCCCTTGCTCTCCTTGTGACACTTGTTGTTTGATGATTGTTTTGCCATTTTAATTTAATTAGAATTAAATTAATTCATTCTTTTTGGCGTTTCACCAACTATCCCACAATAAAAGATGATGGGAAATCTTGGGAATAATTCCCTATAAATACCAATCATTAGGTATTGGGAATTTCACTTGAGTTGGTGAACTATAAGGGATCTCAAAAGTGTGAGAAAACCTTAGTTCGTAAACTCATAGTAATCTTGGTCTAGCCCCGTCTAAGCTACGGGGTAGGAGCCGGTTCGATAATCGAGGGTGTGAGACGTCAGAGGTCATGGATTTGTGGAGCTTGAAGTTTTCAAAGTCCGAGCTCAATTAGTGAGAGAAGCTTGCGTCTAGGGTGAGCTTCTTTCTCTATCTTCTCTTTACATGTTTTTGTTTTATTTATTTGCATGCTTTTGTTTATGTTGTAATTATTATGCATGCGATCCGGTTGTCAGGTTTAGTTTCTGCGCGGTGTCGGACACCGTAAAACCCAACAGCGTTATAAGAGCCTCTTGCATTTAATTTTACAACTAAAAATTAATTAAGGTGATTTAAATGGATTTAAATTGGTTTAGCGTCCTAATTAGATTAGGACCTCTTTTTTAATTAGATTAAAATTGTATTTATGCTATTTTTGGCCTACGAACCTCGAATTTGACTGAAAAATAGTGAATTTTGGGTGGAATCAATGTTTTAAATCATTCTTTACCTTCAATGTGATTAAAAATGACCTTCCATAAGCTAAAATCCACCCAGAAAGTGGTTTTTTTGAGGTGTTTTTCATTTGGAACGAAATTTTTTTAAATTTATAAACCTTGATTAATTATGGCATGCGATTGTTGGATTATGTGTTAGATTGTACCATTAATCTTCTGCAAATTTACATCTTATTAAGCATGTTTATGAATTCATATTGGTTGCTTAATTTGGTGAGCTCTTAATTTCACATAAACTTGAAATTTCACATTCTTGCAAATAAATTGCTTGTAGTGTGAAAGTTTATGGTGAATATGATTTTTGAAGCCCCTTCAAATGATAAAGATTCAATCTTTAATGGTTTAAATGGTTGAATCTTAACCCTTGCCAAAATCCATAATGAACTAATTTTTGGTTTTAATCATTTTGGAAGTTGATTAAAATCTTAAATGTTCAAACTTGTGCTTGAAATATTGTTGTTCTTAATATTAGATGGTTACAATATTCAAATGTGCATAAGTAAGTGTTGGATAAATTATTTCATTGGATGATTGATTATTTATTCAACTATTTTTGTCAAATCTCATTATTAATTTATATTGGTTAAATTAATTGTGAGAATAGCCCTGCCCTCAATTTTTGTTGCATTAAGTTGAGCAAAAAATAATTTAAAGAATATTTCTTAAATTAATTTTGGTTTGTGCACTAAAATTGAAATTATTTAAGTTAGACGTGTTTTATTTCAATATTGCTAAATATTAGTTCTCTTTCGGGGTTTTCTATGTCCCTCGGGAAATTTACAATTCCAAGACTGGATTCCGGGCGCCTGTACCTGCAAAAACAACGGAGAGTCTGGTTGGGTGGAGTTCCACCTCCTACGATCAAGTTAGAACGTGCTCGGATGATCTAAAAAGTGCGGAAAGTAAAGTATCTTCTCGGATTTCGAGATCAGTAGTAAATATCTGCAATTAATGATTGCTCTATTTTTTTTAATATTTCTGAATGTGCTCCCAAGTGGGAATATCTCCCTATTTATAGGATCTTGGAATTTGTGCCGTTATCTTAGGGTAAAAAAACCTAGGAATGGTGGTTTGTCTTGGGAATTGGGCCTTAAAAGCCGCCTTTTTCCCAATCATTGGAGATGCCACGTGTGAGCAGATGAGAGGTTCATTTTGAACCTCTCTAAGGGTGACACGTGTCACCACCTTATTGGGCCATGTGGCCTTGGGTATTTTTACCCAAATAATTTTCCCCTCACAGGTGTAATGTGGCGTGCCACGCGACACCTGTGACACTTGCTACTGGGATACTGGTGAACACAGTTTTAACTGTTCACCTTCTGGGAGAATTACAGGAACACCACTGAAATTACCCTCCTATAAATAGGTTTTTACCCTTCCCTTTTTGGTCATTTCCAAAATTTAGAAAGAGTTAACCGTTTTAGAAAGAAAACGTCTGACAACCGCCTGTGTATTCATCAAGCAATTGCCTTCTTTTTTCCTTTAGATAAAATCGTCCACCGTCTTTTAGCAGACGAGAGAACTTCTGAGAACCGCCTGGATACTCTTCAAGAAATTCTCTTTTTCAAGGGGGTACATCCGGTTAACCGCCTGTGCGTCTTGCAAGCAATTTCTTGACTTCTACCTGCTAGCTACTGCAGGTCAACGCTTGACTGTATTTCAGCTCTTATTAGAGGTACCGTCTCTCCTCTTCTCAGCTCTTTCATATTTTACCGTTTGCGTAAATTTTGTTCCATAAACGGATTCACCAACAGCACACACGACACAATATAGTTTAGCAGGCAGCTGGTCCCCTAGTACGGCTTAGTCTAGGACTGGGGGTTAAAATGGAATAGTGAGGGGGATCTCTTCCGGATCCATGTCTCTACTAGAGACAGGGCGAACATGGAGAAGCAACTGGAAGCCTTCATATCCAAGCGTCCTCTTGGCGAAGGATATACCATCCGGGTGCCGCCTGAATTAGGGACTATTGCCTGGAATGATGACCAGCCAAATGCCAACCTTTATTTTGGCTGCTATGAGGCGGCCTTCCTAGCCGGTCTTTGCTTCCCCCTCCATGACGCAATCAAGGCTATCTTACGAGGATAAGACCTAGGCGTGTGGCAGTTAACCTCAAATTCTTGGGTTAACATTCTAGGCTACATCGCCGCCTACGAGATGCAGGGTCTCCATCCCGACTGGGAGGCCTTTGCCCATATGCATTATCTGAGCCGTAGCCTAGGAGGCTAGAGGGTGTGGTACACATTAACCACCTACCCCAAGTATTTGATGACCCTAGACAAACCGTCTAAGTGGTTTGACTAGAAGAACCGGTTCTAACTTTGAATACCGCTGTTAAAATAAGAAGCCGGATCTGGTTCCATAAGTCCCGGGTGAGGACTATGAAAAGATAATAGAAGCGGGGTTTTTTGAACTCACAACCACCACTCTCTCATCTGGGGAGTTGATAAGTGTACCCAAAAACTGGGTACCCAAACACGAGTTTTTAAAGGATGAGGGGTTCTTTTCCACCTGTGGTTTAAGCACCATGTTTGACAGACGTATGTATAGCATGCATCCGACAATGTTATGCCGTCTTTAGTGTTTATAACTTGTGATTTATTTTTTCCTGCTTGATGGTCTGACAGGCGGTTCTTTTTGCAGAAAACGCCAGAAGGATGCTCCCAAAAAACAAAACGCTTGTTCGTTCTGCAATAG